TCTCCCCAAAACCCCAAAACCCCAAAACCCCATCATGCTGAATAAAGTTATATTATTACAATAAAAAGAAAAATATAAATCAATAAACATGCCACCTAAACCAAATCCAGCTCAGTAATAATAATAGCCACCTTAGACTACTTAATCCTAAGTATCCTAAAAAGTTAATAATCCTTAGACTGGTGCAAAGCCTCAAGCTTAGGCTTAACCTAATCAACCAGGATAAAAGGGAGGAGCTGTGTAGCAATAAGAGCATTCTTAAAACAATATGCAACTGCTTACTTTTGATAATACAATAATGATTTAAAAGTTGCAACATATGTTCTAATTTTCCTCTCATTTAGAAGAGGTGAAAAACTCTGCAAAGTAAATGATAGAAAAAAGAAATGAAACCTAAGTTAAAACAATTGTTGATAAAGATGACGCTATGTCAGAAAATTATGAGAGAGATGTAGAGGATAAACTTAGAAAATGGAGATTTAAAGAAAGAAAAAGAGAATTTGTGGAAAGAATCAACCAGCTTAACATCAAAGAAATGGTTCCGAAATAGCATATTCAAAATAAACTTAAGCAACTATAAGAGATTGAAAGCTTTCTCGGAAACAAGGAGGGTGATAGAGAAGTTGAAGAAAAATTAGGGCTAAAGTTAGCAAACAGATATCATACTATCTAACATTATGATGATCCCCTTCCGGGAGAAGAGCCGATCAAAGAAAAATCTTATTTTGAAAAAAAGAAAGAGAGACTGGAGCAAGAAGGTAAAACTCAGCATGAAATTGAAGAACTAATGGCAAAGCTGCATGAAGAGAAAAAAGCAAGAAAAGAAAAAAAGAGAAAGGAAAGAATTGAAAAATAAGCTGAGCAGAAAAGACTTGAAGAGGTTAAAACAAAGAAGAAATCAGATAAAGATTAAAAAGAAATAGAAGAAAAAAGGAAAAAAATTTAAGAAACAATTAGTAAAATAAAGGAAGACCGTTAATCATCAATCTCTCAAATGCTTGAGGAAACAAGGAAAATTGTAAAGAATCCTTTGTATAGATAAATTGAAGACAAGTACAAGGAAGATGAGGAGTCAGAAATTGAAAAGCGTAAAAAGCATCTTCAATCTCTAAGAGATTTAAGATAGCCTCTTAATAGAGATGAAATCCTAGAGCACTCAAAGAAAATGGAAGAATTAGTAAAGGAAAAGAATGAAGAGAGAAGGAACAAAAGAATGGCTTAGTTCACAAGCTCATATGATTACAGCAAATATCACACTAAATTCCTTGATAGTATTCTAGAGCATGAAGCAGCTTAGGTCGAAGAAAAAGAAAGAAAGGACGAAGAGAGATTAAGAGTTTAAGAACAGAGAGATATTTATGACAAGTATGTGAAAGAGATGCATTGGCCTAAAATATCTGAAAAGAAAAAGTAGGAACTAGAAGCACTTAAAATGTCAATGAAGACCTCCCCTAAACATGGTAAAAAATCACCTAGAAGTACTTTGGGCTAAAGTACAAAGGATGGAATGACCGCTAATGGCCGTTACAGAGCAACTTCTGAACATGGCGAGGACTCCACAATGAAAAGCAAGATTATTGTTTGGCCAGAAAACACCATGAAACCAAAACCAAAGGAAAAGAAAGAGGGAAAAATAATTGATTGGCTTAGGGAGCAAAGAAATAAGCATGATTAAGATGTTTAAAACGGAGGTACACCTGTCCAAAAGAATAATGATTGGAAGAAAGACCTTGACAAAATGTAACTCCATGGCAAGGAGAAATATGATATGTTTCTTGGCAAAGCCAAAGATTTCGAAGAGAAGGCTAAAAGAAAGCAGTAGATAATTGGAACTACAAAAGGAGCTACTATCGAAGATATTATAGAACTAAATGACATGTACGTTGAAAGTATAAAAGCCAAGTTAGAGCTACTTCACGACCTTGGCGATAAATAATGAAACTACCACGATTATAATAGAAAATCTACTTTATTTTATTATCCAGTTTTATATTGAAAGACTTCAACTGTTTCAATTGCTGTTCTGAGGGGTTTTGGGGTTTTGGGGTTTTGGGG